ATGTTTAAGCACTTATAATACTTTTAAGTGAGAATAATTTGATACAATTTAGAAATAGTGCTAAATATGTCATTGGGGTGCTATTGTATTTTTGACTTCCAAATAGTGCTAAAATTAGTACAATTGTACCAACTTTTGCATCCCTGATACACTCTGTATGTACTCTGGAAACAAAAGACTTTAAACATCTGTAGATTTCCAACTATAGACATAAATCATTCTGTCTGGGTCTATTATAATTGAAGATATTCTATAGGAGACTGTAGATTTCTGAAATGTCCAATTTCCAATAGATTTCTTTTTGATATCCAATGGACAGATGGCATTCTTTAGTTAGTTAAGTATTGAAAATCTTCTATTGGTAATTTATATACTGAATATAGGGGGATTGTCCTTTATAACAGAAACCATATTTCCGAAAACCGAAGGTTTTCTATAGACAGAATACTTTACATAGGTCCTCTGCCAGCTGATGATCTTCCATAGGCAGTAGATCCACAATAGACATAATTATTCATTATCTATTCTATAAGCATAAGAACTTTTAGAAGTCTACTATATTTTAAAAATCTCCTACGGGTCTTCCCAAGACTGCAAGTAGATCTATTTGCAACTTGAAAATCTTCTACCTTCTTTAACATTCTGTCTGAATATCTTCTGCAAGGCTTCTGTACACTGAAAGAAATTCTTAAATATGTTTTTTCCAAAACTGAAGACGTTCCAGACGTCGTTTCTAAACTAAAGGCCTTTTACTGATATATTTTAACTTAAAAACCAAAAAGTAAGGAGGTTGGTAAGTTCTACCGTACCAACCTTTTTTAAACCTCCATCATCAAAATACCTAGAATTGGTGAATTGAAATATTCCATTTTCAATACCAGACATCGTAGAAGTGGCAACAGTCTATGTGAATAATTTTCAAAGCTCTATCTTGAACATTGCCGATCTCTATCGTGATTCCAAAACACATACGGATAAATCGACATAGAATTTTAATGTAAACAAAAATATATATACTTTGTGGGATCTTCTAGTGACAGGTATGTAGGGCATCAGACGGGCAGCCCCGCCCTATGGCTGAAAAGCAGCGTGACCGTTGTGCCACTAAAGTGGCAATTTTGCCACTTTTTTCCGCCTTTGCTACTTTTGTGATACTTTTTCATTTTGATACAAAATGTGCCACTTTTTGAATTTTTGTGAAACTTCTTGTTACTTTGTGCCACTTTTTTAAAAAAGTACATAAATTAAAGCGATTTTTCATAAAACATAAGGCGGAGCGATTTTTAACTAGGTTGCGTTTTTTAACAGACGGAGCAATTTTTAACTAGGGTTCTGTTTGTAACAGACGGAGCGATTTTTATTATTATTATTAGGTCGCATTCGCATTTGTGTGTTGGTCTGTTCCCGTACTGCAAGAATCTACTAGATTTTACTATTTTCTTCGATAACATAAAGGAAAATTCGTTATCGTAGTACGGGAACAGACCATGTGTGTTTCGATTTGTAGAATTTTCGATTGCTATTTGTGAATAACAGCCTGTTTTTGTAAAATTCCAAACGAACGAATTCGAGTGACTTATGCCATGCTCTGACGGGCATTCGAACAACGTAGTTCGCTCTTAGAATTACGTATATGAATTAACCCGTTCATACAACACTATTCTTAATTAATGTCATCAGAGTTTTTTTATTTCAAACTTTTTGTTTCTTGTTTCACACCAAAATTGTAACATAATAATAATATAACATATAATAAAAAAATAATTCTCTTTCTCCTGACTATAATATCAACCCCTATCTCTTAACTTTTAATTCATGTTTTCCATTTTTCTGAAAATATTGTTGTTTTCAATACATTTTTATATTTTCTCACCTCAAATGTCACATTTAAAAAATGGGAGAATTTTTGTTTGGGTTTCCCCACTTTTGTTTCTCGTTTTGTACGCTAATTAGAACCAAGGGGAAAGAAATGCACATTGCATTATGTAGACAACAAAATTTACATCCTTCTGCATATATAAAAACTAGAATTGTGGTTACATTTCATTCATCATTTTCAATTTTACTGAAAAAGTTTGAAGAATTTAAAAAATTTTTCATGCTGTCAAAATTAATTTATTTTCGATAAATTCTCTCAATTGTTAGAGATGGGACAAAATTCTTGGTGATTCAGAGAGTGATTCGAATTGAACAACGTACAAAAGTCGGTGTTCGCTCAGACAATTGTGTATGGGGAACTAAGTAATTACTTCATAATTTAGGGTCGAACAACGAATGAGAGAGCGAAGAACGCTCGTCTTTACATGGCATTACGACCAAACTCCTTGGTTTTAAAAAATATGTCATTTATTTTTGTTTTGAATCAGAAAACCTTTATAAACATAAATAAAGGTTCGGTCGTAAGTCACTCGAATTCGTTCGTTTGGAATTTTACAAAAACAGGCTGTAAGTAATTAAAAAATAAATGTTATTCAATAACAATATATGGTCTGCTCCCTTACTGCAAGAATCTACTACTTTTTACTACGATAACGAATTTTCCTTTATGATATCGAAATAAATAGTAAAATCTAGAAGATTCTTGCAGTACGGGAACAGACCAATAGTATATACCGCTTATATATTGTAAGAATATGTGACTTTATTTAGTTTTTTTTCAGTTTACTGTATATTAAAATACACATAAATGAATTATTTGTAATGTTTTATATATGGTATGTTCCCGTACTGCAAGAATCTACTATTTTTTACTCCGATAACACTTTTTTTCCTTTATGATATCGAAGAAAATAGTATAATCGAGTAGATTCTTGCAGTACGGGAACAGACCAATAATTTTTTATTAAATTAAAAGTAAAAAAAGTGTGCCACTTTTTGTGACACTTTTTCATAAGTTATCTGCTACTTTTTTTAAAAAATGATACTTTTTGTGATACTTTTTGAAAATTTTCAGCGGTCACGCTGCTGAAAAGTGACCAGTCTGTTTGAAAAGCGACCAGCGATAGGAGCAACCTACTGGAATCGATCATTGGCTCCTCCCCAATACACCAGGACCAATTGAAGAGGAAAATATGCATTTCTGTAATTTTAAAGGGCAAAGCCAAATTTCTCCAAGTTTACCAAAGTTAGGAAGGCACTAGTCCCTTAACTCCCACTCCTAACTAGTTCATTTGAATCACTCTTTACTTGAATCATTCTCATTTGAATCACTCTTTTTTTTGTATTTTCGTTCGCATAGTTCCGATAGTTCATTCGTTGGGGAATAACCTTGGATAAAAAGGTTAAAAAACGAAGACTGTGGGAATCAGAAATAGGAACGAGACCAGATAAAGGAACTAGATATACTGAAGTAACAAAACAGCTGGAACTAGTTAAGATTCTTCCTTCCTGGGGATAGTTCCAATAAAATTGGTCGTTTCGATATTGTGGAAATTAGAATACTATCTTATCGTCTGGCGTACCCTGAAATGACGTGTTATCTTTAATTTTAATATTCAGTTGGTTTTACTATAACTCATTCATGTACGTTAGAATATCTTCCCCAAGAGTAATTCTACAGTCAATTTTGAAAGGCAGATATTGAAAGAGCAAACTCCTTGCAGTGACCCTAGTAAAATTTGGTTAGAATTTAAGCCTACCTCAGTTTTGAATGGCAGATAAACATTGATATTTTTAGCATCATGTGAAGAAATGCTAGTATAGTCCGCTGAAAGATATATATGTGCTCTCTACCGTAGTCACTGTCCTACCGAATGATGTAATAATTCCCTTAGGAAAATAGTGAACGACTGATGTTCACTTGGCTTTACGGTAATTCATGAATGTACGCTGGTCAAGCTCAACCAAGGGTTTATTTATTTAGAAATGGGGCCAGTATTTAAGCGACCTTAGTTTTCGAGAACGAATATTGCAGCAGTTACTCTAGTAAAGGAATCAATGCTTTTTGATGAAAGAAAAGTCGGATTTGTCTTAGTTTGCAATAAGAATACATCGTGGGTCATTTGGTATCCCCTTCCAGCAAATGGATTATGCTTGAGTTATAACTGGTTCCAGTTCTGCAGACAGTTTGAATACCAATATTGACAGATTAAATTTCAGCTAGACTGCTCATAATATCTGAATTAGTAGAGAAGTAAATTTTATAATTCTCACAAAAAATGCACGAAGTGGTCTCATAGTTGAAATTTGAGAACATGATGGAATTCTAATTGAATTAATACTATGGATACCAGTTTGAGTTAGAGAGAGAGCTGGACAAAGTGCTAGCTGTAGAAATGAAAGAAAACCTAGTAGATTAATTAGCTTGCATTCTAGTGCTAGCACTAGTGGAGGATATGATAAGAAGCCCAACATCTAGCATTGGTACCGGTGAGAGATGTGCTGATGGGTAAGCTAGATGGGGTGCATGCCGCAGAACTCGAGATAATGCTATTAGAATAACTAGACGATAGTAGAAATACTCCTGGATTTAGAACTAGTGAGGAAACTAGTCTTAGTACAAACGAAAGGCTAGACTGAACACTAGCGGAAACCAGAAGGCCGTGATTTCAATCATCTGAAATTTCGTGAACTACAAATGTATTTTTAAATTTACAAATTACAATCGTTTCGAAATTAAATCTGCAAAAGGCGTATATCTGAAATTTCAAGAAATACTTCAATATACTTTCTCTTCGTATGTACCTTCTCAAAATTTGGATGTCACCTGGACAATCGATTAAACCCCCACTTCCTCCCCCTATGAATACCCTTATTATCATTTGAACTTTAGTTAGTTGTGTTTAGTTTTTAGTACTTTTTAACGTTTTGAATAGATTTTTGTTCTTGTTGTTGTTGTATAGGTTTCTTGAGTTAGAATATTTACTTTTGTTCTTATTGTTTTTCTATTTATTTACTACTACATCTATAGCCAAGGTAGACACATGGAACGGCAAGCTTCCCGCGAATGAGGTTCATCACCAGAACGACCACCGCCTCCACCACCACCAGAAGCAGAATTACTGCCAGCTGCATGGCTCGCATCCTTGTGGCTCGAATCCTTGCCACCATCTTTCCCGCTATCTTTCCAACTGTCCTTCCCGCCACCTATACCGACAATTTTGAAAAATGAACTCCTTCGTCAGTGTTTGCGGTGACCTTGGGGCGATGTGGAGCTGCTACCGCCACCACTGCCACCACCATTTGAACCGGGCGAGGTGGATAGTGAGGAACCCAAACTTACACTGCCATATGAAGGACGTTTTTGTAGATTGTTGTAGGGGGAGGGTATTGAGGAGGGTGAGGGAGTGGTACTGGTTGTTGAGGGCGCAGCAGAGGTATTGGCTGCCGATGAGGCGGTGCCTGCTGTCATGCAAGTGGTGAACAAAGCGGCAGTGTTAATAATCGTTGGATTTGGTGTGGCCATGGATGAGGCGCGTTGCATGGTGGTGTGACGTTTGGGTATGACAAATGCCGGTGGTGGTTGGGGTGTATATTGGGGTGGTGTAGAGTTGGTGGAAATTTGTCGTACAAAGGGGCGAACACCGCCACCTCCTGACATTTGGTTTGTGGGCATGGTGGAATGTTGTACTGAACCACTGCGAGCTATGGCACCTGTCCGGGGTGGAATGGCAGGTGGGGGGCCGGGTGGTGGACCACGTGAAGTCCGTCCCGTAGAACCGGTGGAGGGTGTGGGCGATGTTGCCACCAAACTTTCTGTAGAATGTTGTGATGGTATGCGAGGTGGTAGTTGTGGCAGAGGGCCAGTTTGTGAAACACTGCTGCTTTTGCGGGCCCCCAGTGGTGGATGGGCCTTGGGCTGCGAGGAGATTTTCTCCGATGTAGATTTTTGTAATTGTTTGTGGGAAGTTGTTGTGGTGGTTTGGTGTTGGGGTTGTTGATGGTGGTGGTGTTGTTGTTGTGGTTGATATTGGTGTGATGATGGAGGAGGGTGTTGTTGCTGCTGCTGTTGTTGTATGGCACCCCTGGCATTTGTTGATGAAATTGTTGTGGTAGCCGTGGTATGAGTCCTAGCATTGGTATGAACCAAACGTGACTGAGGCTGCACCGTGGATGTTGTAATGCTTGGCTTTTGCATTGGCTGGGTGTGACGTATGGTTATGGTCTGCTGGCGATTGCTATTCTGTTGCTGCGAAGGCAAATGTGTTGTTGTCCTGGAGCAAGATAAGGTGGTGGTTGTGGAGCCACCTGCAGTCGAAGATGTGGCTGTATGATGCTGTTGTTGTTGCTGCTGCTGTTGATGTTGTTGCTTCTGCTGGGCATGTATATCCTGTATTTGTGGTGTAATAACAACAGGATTTTTCTTTTGATTTTGATCTTGTCCCGCAGCCACATAGGAGAAGACACATAGAACCGAATAACATATTTGATCGGCCTGTTCGCATTGGATTCAATTCCAAGGTGAGGGAAGAAATTTGTGTTAATAATTTTCTTGTTCTTAATAATAAAACAACTCTAACATTTAGCTAGGAGATGAAGATGAGTTCAAGAAAATAATATCAGAGAGAAAGAAAAAATAAATTTGAATTTTCTGCCAAATGAAACGCATGCAGTGTTTTTTGGGTTTTAGTAAAATTGTTTAATCTTGTGTCTAGATTATAGGTTTTATAAAAAGCAAAGTTATATATTTTTTAGCAAATTTACTACTTTTTTAATTTTTATTGGAAAGTGTTAGCATTTTTTATTTGGAAGAAAAAAGTGTTTTCTAGTGTTAAAAAAATTTTATATAAATCCCCCTTCCTTCTGGTTGGGGATTTTTCATTCTTTGCAAGGGCTTCTATATATCCTGGTTATCATCACAGTTGTCTTTGTTGGCATCCTCTTCTTCTTCATCGCTTTCATCACTCGATGAGACGGTGTATGAACTTCCTGCTCTTTGTTTCAAATATTTTTTACCGGTCAAATTATCATTCGAATCCTTGTAACGACGATGTTCGACAATATCCGGGTGTTGCATCAAACGCTTGGCAAATTTTATACTAAACATGCGATGTAGGCAAAATGCAGCCTCCGCTGCCTGTTAGGCCCAAGTTTTTGGATATATGTTGCAATTTTGTTGGTTAGTTTTGAGGTAGTGTTTGTTGTTGTGATTAGAGAGTTAGTAATGTTGTTTTTGAGTGGTGTTGTTGTGTTAATTTTTTTGTTAGATTGGTGTGTATGGAGGTTCACATGAATTTTTGTTTGTTTTTTTGGACAAATACATAAATGTATGTATTTTACATATATATGCATATGTTTGGTTATATACATACACACACACACACAAATTGACATATACATAAAAAGAAACAAAAAATTATATTAAATAATTTAAAGAACGAAAACAAATTGAGAGGATTATTTTTATATTGGTATATATATATATACAGACATAACAGAAGTCGGTTGCAGACATGATTTTTAATAATCAATAAAATATTAATTTATATACTTAAGTACTACGGAATATGTAGTCAAAAATTGAGATTATTGATAGACTATTGATCACAATTCACGATTTTAGTAGAGAAAGAGAGTACCAAATATCATAAAATTTTTTTCAGAATTGTTTAAAAAAATATCCACGCACAGATAGTCCTTCAAAAAAAAATGTTTTATAAAAAAAATAACCGACCGTTACGGAACTGTAACTATCTGCGGATGTTTATTCTGAGCCTAATATTTCGTGATATTTGCACCCTCTGGCTCGATTAGGGGTCAACAGGCATATTTTACTAATATTACTAATAATCAGTACAGATATTCTAATTACTTGGCCAGTTTACCTTCGCAGTGGGTTGTGTTGTGATGTTCGGCTTATAATTGTGGCCTATAGATCGACCCTAAAAAAAAAATTAAGTTTTCGATCCACTTCATCCCAAAATTTTAAATTCATCAAAAATTATAAGCGTTGTCCTTGACCTTAACTGGATCCTCATGGAAAATTTCAAAGCGATCCGCGCTATGGGTTACTGAATAATATATGAATACGTAATGACCTGTAAATATGTAAGTGTAACTCCCACATTCGAGTACATAAGACAATATAATTGGTATCAATTTAAAGGTCAACTAATCCTCTTCGATATACTATCAACTTCTCGGGTCTATACCCTTCAGCGCTAAATATATACGCCATAGAATACAAATTTTGTAATTTTTCACACAAAAGTCACTCTCCATTTGACCCGTTAATTGTTGACCAATCTTTATCAAGACATGCCTATACTGCCTATTCAGACATGCATATTCTTTTGCCCGTTCTCCGTGTAAAATTTCGCGATGTTCGGGCCATAATTTCGGCATCTGGAGCGACCAGAAAAATAGACAAAAATTAAGTATTTGGTCTGTTTCATCCCCTAAATATTAACCGATCTTTACCAAATCGGGTCGTTACCAATAGAAGATTGATCCACAACTGTAATCGTAAAGTTGTTAAAATTGCCATTTAAACATTTTAATTTTTCTACGATATTTATACCCTTCACCACACTGTGGTATAGGGTATTATGTCTTTGTGTATATGTTTGTAACAGGCAAAAGGAATCGAGATAGACCCATGGTTCCTTTTGAGAATATGCATAGAATCACTTTCTGAGTCGATTTATGCATGTCCGTCCGTCCGTCCGTCCGTCTGTTGATGTTAAATTGTAAACAGAGTACAGGTCTCATTTATGATCACTTATTTGGCCCAAGGACGAACCCTATTGAAATTGGGAAAAATCGGTTCAGATTTAGATATAGCTCCCATATATTTTTTCGTCCGATTTAAGGTAAATAATGTACCAAAGTCCCTATATATCTTTCGATTTACACGAAATTTGGTATATCCTACCGAATTAGGTGTAGAATAATGTGTGCTAAGTTTCGTTAAAATCGGTTCAGATTTAGATATAGCTTCCATATATAGTTTTGTCCGATTTTATGTAAATGGTGAACCAAAGTCCCTGAAAATCATTCGATTTCCAGGAATTTTGGTATAACGTATTGAATTATGTCTAGAATGATGTGTACTAAAGACCCATTGTGCACTAAAGATCCATAGCTAGGCCGATTGACACAACGTACTGAACTTAATATAAATTAATATCTGGCCCGTTTGCTTGAAATCGTTTCAGATATAGATAAATCATAGCTTTCATATATAATTTCGACTTATTTATGTTAATTGTACACCAAATGGGTGTCTGATTGAGATTAAATTTTTAACAGTGCAGCATACCGAATAGCGTGTGTCAAGTTTGCTTTAAATCGAATTACACAAATCTGTCCCACAAATGAAATAAAATTTAGCATCGGTTCTAGAAAGACATAAAAGTCACATATTTAAGTTCGTTCAATTTCATGTCAAAATTCCTTCAAAAAGGCGACGTCTTTTCGGATACATATGTAGAATATACCCAAAGTGGTGAAGGGTATCATATAGTCGGCCCAGTCCGACTTTACTACTTTCCTTACTGTTTTTTTTATAAATTTTTTTGTAGTGCATATTTCAGTGTAACTTTTTCATATTCTCTTCGCTCATGACACTTTTGGGTAAACATATGACATTAAATAATTTATAATTTTTAATCCATAAAATGTCAAATACAAATTTGTGTATTTACAGATAACGATTTTTTTAAACTTTCGTATTACATTGTTGTAGTTTCATCACACATTACAGATAATCACTTATCACATATGCCTTCTATTAATAAATACTAATAACATCGCCTTATATTCAATATGTTGTTGTATATTCCCCAATATAACATGTTCCCTTGTTAGGATTAAAAAATGTTTTTCTAATAAAAAATCTAAGAAATCAAATTTTAATCTGCTGAATAGAAAAAACTTCCTTATTGGAACACATAAATATTATTTCTAAGAAAAAAAAAGTAATTTGCATCGGCCGGGAATCGAACCCGGGCCGCCCGCGTGGCAGGCGAGCATTCTACCACTGAACCACCGATGCTTGTGTATTAGTGTGGTTAGTATTTATATATTTATTTGTTATTTTATTTAATTTTAAGAATAAAAAATGAGAACTAGCGACTTGAAAAATATTAACAACTAATTCATTTTTTTGTATTCGAATTATATTTATAATTTCCAATTGGGAACTATTCCAATTGGTTAAGTTTTTTAAATAATATCTATTTTAATATTTATTTACTATTCAAAACCTGAAATCACAAATCTTGAAAGAGCATTTAAATATACATAGAAACGATCTTTTTGGTAAAATTTTACTATTTTTATAAGCATCGGTGGTTCAGTGGTAGAATGCTCGCCTGCCACGCGGGCGGCCCGGGTTCGATTCCCGGCCGATGCAGACGCTTTTTTACTAATATGTTGTGTTCCAATAAGGGAAATTTTTCTATTTCCCCGATGCAGATTATTTTGGTTCGAAAAGTCTTTGGCATGTAGATATACGCTCGCATTCTAATATGTTAGTTCAGAATCCATAAATAAATATCGTTGCTATCTTCAATCATATATATTCCGATGTTATACACACCGTTAATTTATTGTTTGATGTAGTATTAATATTTTTATTTACTATTCTAAATGTTTGCAACCGACTTCTTATTATTATTTATTTTTTTTTTTTTTCAAAATAAAAATCAAATGTGTTAGAAAAGATGAACATGTTTTAAAACGTGCACAAAATCAAAAATGATTGCCTTAATATTTGATTTGGAAAATTTCAAACAGTTTAGCAATAAATAAAAACTTCACACTTACCATGTTCGATTTATATTTTCGTTGTATTAGCTGACGTGTTTTAGGATCTGAAATGAAGAAAAGGGAATATAAAATGTAATGTTCCCAGTCTGATTTCCGATTGCTGATTAGATTAGGGGTAGTGTTCGATAATATTGTTCCTATTGTTGCGTTTCGATTTTTTTTCAAAATTTAAGTTATGTATAAAAGTTTCAAGAAAACCTCAATACTTACTATATTCTTCCAATACGAAAATGCCACCTTTTTGTGTAAAACACTTTCGTATATGATCCAAACGAACGAAAAACTGAAAATGTAATTTTAGAAAAAAAAATTAATTCAATTAATTTCAATTTAATTTGTTGTTGTTTTTTGTGAGTGTATTATTTTATTTCTTAATCAACTTTCAACATTATTAAGGGGGGATATTTTTTAGGGGAGGTTAGGGTATTTTTTTTATTTTTGTCAAACAACTTTCCAATACTGTGCTCTCTAAAAACAATAAAAATAACTCAAACCACATGCATTCAAATTACAACAATTAAGGCAATTAACAATGGATTTGAAAGCATTTAGTAATTTATAAAATATATATTTGAGAAAGAGAGCTAAAGATACATTTTTCAATATTGCATTTTTATTTTGTTTAAAAAAACCTTTTCTGAAGGACTACCAAAGCAATATTTTTATGGAAAATCAGGCAAGGACATTTGACTTTGGAATTTTTTGTAAGTGTAAGGAGATGTTACTTTTAGATACTTTTGAAGAATATTAAGGCCTATATTAAAAAAGTAAATGTTTAAAAGGCTATCAAGCTGTCGATTTTTAAAAAAAATATTTATTTGATCGAGGAAATTTAGAAAATAATGTTTCCGTAATTTTTCCAAGCCTGGAATTTCTATAGAAATATTTTCTGTACGACAATTAAGGTGCGGATTTCTGTAGGACAATCAAGGCGTGGTTTTTCTAAAGAAACAATTGCTCTACGACAATCAAGGCGTAAATTATTTGAACGAATATTTTCTATACGACAATTAGGGCATGGTTTTTCTAAAGAAATATTTGCTGTACGACAATCAAGGCGTGGTTTTTCTAAAGAAATATTTTCTATACAACAATCAGGGTGTGGATTTTCTAAAGAAATATATTTTGAAGGACAATCAAGGATTGATTTTTTAAAAATATTTTCTAAAGGACAATCAAGGATTGATTTTTAAAAATATTTTCTGAAGGACAATCAAGGATTGATATTTAAAAATATTTTCTGAAGGGCAATCAAGGATTGATTTTTAAAAATATTTTCTGAAGGACAATCAAGGATTGATTTTTAAAAATATTTTCTGAAGGACAATCAGGAAATAGATTTTCTGAAGCATTTTTTTCTAAAGGAGTGTCAGTGCAATAGGCGTGGATTTTCTAATGAATATTTTCTCAAAAAAAAATCAGATGTTTCTTAATTTTTTTTGAAGATCTTACAGTACAAGATTCGTGGACTTTTAACTCTATTTTCTGAAGGAATATTCCCATTTTTGGGAATTTTTTCTCAAGGATTTTCATTACAAGAGGCGTGGATTTGTTAAGCAATATTTTCTGAAGGAATATTCCGATTTTTGGGAATTTTGTGTGAGGGATTTTCATTTCGAGAGGCGTGGATTTGTTAAGCAATATTTTCTGAAGGAATATTCAGATTTTTGGGAATTTTTTCTGAAGGATTTTCATAACAGGAATATTTTTTAGATTTTTTGAAGGAATTTTTTTCTGAAGGATTTTTATTACAAGAGGCATGGATTTGTTAAGCAATATTTTCCGAAGGAATATTCCGATTTTTGGGATTTTTTTCTGAAGGATTTTTATTACAAGAGGCGTGGATTTGTTAAGTAATATTTTCCGAAGGAATATTCCGATTTTTGGGAATTTTTTTCTGGAGGGCTTTCAGTAAAAGAGAAGTAGTTTTTTTTCTGGAGGTCTTTCTTAACGATAAACAAGGAAAGACGTTTGTAAAGGACTATTATTGTATGGATTGTTAAAAAAAATACTTTTAGGAGATCACCAGAAAAATAATTTAAAAAAAAATATTTTCTGAAACACTAACAATGAAGGATATTTAAATATGTTTACAAATTCTACTATATATATTTCCGACCTGATAGTGAAATAGATCCAAAAAATCATAATTGTATACATTTTTTAAATTTTCTTTGTACCAACCGACATATTGCCAAATTTTGCAGGATTTAACCAAAAAAAATAATGGCTAATAGTATTTTAATGGCATTTTTTCTGAGGGACTAGTAGAGGAAGAATAAAAGAATATATATTTTATGTGCTTTAAATTGTTTTTGTAACGTACTATCAGAACACCAATTTATTGAAGAAAAAGTTTAAAGAATATATTTTTATAAAAATCTCCTCAAGCGTTGAATAATAATAATATTAATAATTTCTGAAGGTATATCAAAAATATAACTTTAGCTCTCTATATTTGATTTTTCATGGTTATATAATTGTAGATAATATAATTTGGTTATATATTTAAAAAAATATATTTAATTTTGTATATAAAATAATTATAGTAGGTGTTTTAAAGCAGATAAATAAAAGCAGTGTTCGAATTTATTAATAAAAGTGGAATCAAATGAAAATCAAATTACAGATAGCAGTTAAACATAAAAAGCTCTTTTTACTTAGACAGCTAAGCTAGATATAGATACGCATAATTAGTGGTGTTGTGTTAGGGATTTTTTTCTAAAAAGCAAAGCCAATTCAATGAAATTAAAAAAAATAATAATAATAGCAAATAGCATACAAATATTTTTCAAAAATGCAAAGCAAGCAAATTATGAGTTAAAAGTGTTTTTGTATTCGTTTTTTATTTTAATTCAATCTTTTTTAGTTTATTATTTGTACTAAAAACTTTTACAAAAATAAATAAACATAAAAATTCTAATTAGCACTTGTGAGATGGTCATTTAAAGAAAATTACAGGAAACTTAAAAGAAAAATTAATTCTTATAATTTGTTTTCGGTTTTTATATAAAATTCAATATCAGCCGTATGAAACAACGAAAATCTTTCTTTTGTTTATAGGGATTTGTGATTTTGGTGTTTTGCAGGTGATGAAAATCAGCGCTAATTTTTTTTTATAATTTAAACTTATTCAGATTTGTTTTGTGAATTCTGTTTAAGCCAACAACAATAAACTGAAAAAAAATACACAGCCGCCGGGGATTAGAAGGGGGGTTTATAGAGGGCAAATACGTTGAAGAACACCAGGTGTTGGGTATGTGTATTGGCATTGGTGTAGATATGTCACTCTCTTGAAAGATTCTAATCCCAACAGGATTAACCATTTTCGCTTTGCAGAAAAATGTAGGAATTAAAGATCCTTTTTAGATGTGACTATCTCCAACAATGAACTGATGTATTGTGTGTAAGGAAATAAATAAATATGTTTCAGTTCTTGGTATGATTGAGTGTTTATATTCGATATATCTTATCGATGTTCTTTGCAATAATAATATGGGAATAGGAAAATTGTAATTGATTTTTTTTAGTTGCCTCACACTGATATATAACCGTGCTGACAATTGAACTTCTCTACTTTTCTGTTTTATTATTATTTTTAGTTTTTCTATTGATCTGTTTGTATAGGATTTGTATATATTAGGCTATATAAAAATCCTATACAAACAGATAAATCATTTTGTATAAATTCGACCAATATATGACCGTAGATGTGTCCTGTGCTAATGGGCCTTCTCATGTTTTTGAATTGTTCATATGTGTTTTATAGATCTAATACCATCTATAAATTTATTGCTAACTAATAAATTTATTGCTAGCTAAGCTATGGCACCTGTTTCATTGAATTTTATTCAAAACATTTCTGTAGTAATTTTAAAATTTGAAATTCAAAACATTTCAGTAGAAATTCCAATTGTAATTCATATTCTAAAATATTCTATTTTAAATTCAAATGATTTCATTTGTAATCCAAATTGTTTCATGTATATATTTTGAATTTCAAAGGGAAACATTCGAATTTCAAAGAAATATTTTGAGTTACAAGTAGAATAATTTGAATGACAAACGAAACGTTTGAATTACAAACGTCGAACACCAATTGAAATATTTTGAAATTCAGATGAATGACTCGAATAATAAAATAATTGTAATGAATTACAATTGGAATTTTCTAATCCAAATTAAGTAATTTTCTGAACCCACAAAATATTGAATCAAATTTAAGAGAGCACAAAACAAAATGGCGTTCTCTTTGTAAACTTTTTACTCGAGAAATTTGGCCGAGTAAAAATGGTAAACAGGAATGCCTACTTTTTTTTAAAAATAACATTTAACATTTTATTTACATTTGATTTAAGAATAACATTTCTTGTTAAAATTTGTCGACTGACTACTATTTTTGAAATGCTCGAGGCTACAAACGGACGATTTTATCAAAAAGTACTAGATGAATGGATGAACCGGACCTAGTTCCGATCGCTCCTTTTGCAGAATAGTTCCATTGAAAATAAATCGTTCCAGAACGAGATAACTCTATTAAATACCATGATTTATTTACTATAACCTGATTTTATATATTTCTATCTTTTGAGTAATTTTCTCAATTACCGCTTTTTACAGGGTTATATTTTTTTCAAAAACTTTTTTTATGAAAATAATTTTTTAGTTTCGCTTTTGAGTTTGATTTTTTTTGTTTTTTTTTTTTTTTGGAAGAATTTTTTTACTTTGTGTATAATATATTTTTTCTGTTTGTTTTTATATATTTTTAGACAACCAAATTCAACTACACAAGCAAACTAAAAAACTAAATATAAGGTAAGATATTTTATTAGTGTTATTACTGTTTTGGTAGTCGTTTTAGCCAGGTGTTGTATTTATTGTTGTTTGTTTAAAATGTTTATATAAAACTAAAAATTAAATGTGGAAATTGATAAATAATATAAACTGATAGAATAATACGTTATACAATTTTCCACCAGAATCTAGTAATTGTGAAAATAAAGTATAATATGCTCAACGGGAATTGAACTCAAAGTTAAGCCTTACAAGCCTGATTCCAAACAAATTTATAAACTATATTTAAGTATTGAAATATAGAAGCCCAAAAATGTTTTATATAAAAGAATATTCTCTCTCGTTTAAGGCATTGCCTTAAGGGCACCCACATGACTTAAAACTTTCGATATGAGTACTTGAAGACTTAGAGGATAGGAAAATGAATTAAAATAATTTAATTTTTGCTCGGTGGGCATGATTTTCGATAATTTAAACCATGGTACAATA